GGAATAAATTTTTATAATTGCATTTCTTTTTCATATAATATTTGCCCATAATAACTGGTAGTATTTTAATGAAATCCGTATTAGACAGAACAATAGTAAAAAAATTCGGATAGGGCTGAATTTTGGTTGATCACTAGTGTCTGCTGTCTTGAATCAACGCAACCACTGCAGCCGATGTTTCAGAACTAACAGTATTTTTGGCTGAGGAATCTTTAAAAGACTTGCTCAACACAACCATGCAATTTTTTATTTTCACACACATTGCACTATATTTTTATTGAAGCTCCATTCAAATAAGCCGTCGATTCTTGTTGATTTTTGTGTAAGAACAAAATATTACAAAACAATAAATTTATTTTTTAGGTATAAATTTTTGTAACTGCATTTATTTTTCATATAATATTTGCCCATAATAACTGGTAGTATATTAATGAAATCCTTATTAGACAGAACAATAGTAAAAAATTCGGATAGGGTTGAATTTTGGTGGATACCTAGTGTCTGCTGTCTCGAATCAACGCAACCACTGCAGCCGATGTTTCAGAACTAACAGTATTTTTGGCTGAGAAATCTTTAAAAGACTTGCTCAGCACAAGACTTTAACAAAGATCCGTTAAATTTGTCATAAAAAAAGACCACCGCTAACCATGCAATTTTTTATTTTCACATTACACTATATTTTTATTGAAACTCCATTCAAATAAGCCGTCGATTCTTGTTAGAAATTACTTAAAATATGTTTCATTTTTGTGTAAGAACAAAATATTACAAAACAATAGATTAATTTTTTAGGAATAAATTTTTATAACTGCATTTCTTTTTCATATAATATTTGCCCATAATAACTGGTAGTATTTTAATGAAATCCGTATTAGACAGAACAATAGTAAAAAAATTCGGATAGGGCTGAATTTTGGTTAGTGTCTGCTATCTTGAATCAACGCAACCACTGCAGCCGATGTTTCAGAACTAACAGTATTTTTGGCTGAGGAATCTTTAAAAGACTTGCTCAACACAACCATGCAATTTTTTATTTTCAAACACATTACACTATATTTTTATTGAAACTCCATTCAAATAAGCCGTCGATTCTTGTTAGAAATTACTTAAAATATGTTCCATTTTTGTGTAAGAACAAAATATTACAAAACAATAAATTTATTTTTTAGGAATAAATTTTTATAACTGCATTTCTTTTTCATATAATATTTGCCCATAATAACTGGTAGTATATTAATGAAATCCGTATTAGACAGACAATAGTAAAAAATTCGGATAGGGTTGAATTTTGGTGGATACATAGCTAGAAATAAAGTGCCAAAAGAAACCAACTATCTATTAAAAATCGAAATTTTCGTTTTTTTTTTGCTCGAAAACGGCAGGCCTTATTAAAAAATATCTCAGACATAAATTGTATACTATAAAATTATCTACAAAATGGTTTATATAGTTTTTTAAAAAATTGAACTGAGGTGGCTTTTACTGGATGAAAATCCATTTGTCAAAATAAATAAGAAATAGAAGTTCAGATTTTCACGAAATTATATATTTTTACGTGACAATTGTTTCGACAACATTTGATAAAGACACGGTGTTGTCGAAACAATTGCCATGTAAAAATATACAATTTCGTGAAAATCTGAACTTTTAGTTCTTATTTATTTTGATTTTTATAGTTTTTTTCCTAAGAATCACCATTCCTGTGAGCTATCTCTGTAGGAATTTTTATTTGAAATGTCTGTTTTGACCGGACTAGTAATGAAAATTTAATAATTCAGTTGCCGAAAGCAACACTGATAAAACCTATCTCGCGCGATTGAATCGTCTGCCTTTTTCTTGCACTTTTCACATTAAACAAAAGTCCGCGACCTGTTCGACCCGAGGACATTGGACAACGAAATGCATTTGTGTAGGTAACTGCAAAGCCGGAAACTCGGTTCTCCGGCAGCAACTTTTTCCGTTTAATATTTATGAAATAGGTCAATAATCTCGCATTCTTTGGTCCTAAGACGGTGGTAGCTGTTGGGTCGCCGCGCTGGCGAAAATTTGATTACGTCGAAATTCGTTTTAGTTTTAGATTTGATCGGCCATGGCTTACGTTCAATTTGAAAGAGTGAAATTATTATTTAAGTCGTATTAACGAGAGAACGACTCAGCAAAGGCTTGTCTAATATGCCCCTAATAGGGCTCTACTTGATAAGTATCTAAATTTACAGAAAACAATTTAGCGTGAACTTGAAAATCATGATTTATCATGATCATCATGAAATATGAAATTAAACAAACATTAAAAATTAAATTAAAATAAATTAAAAATTTAAAAAAATAAGAGTTGCCATCCAGCTGAACTATAATTAAAAATAAATAAACAAAAACTTAAAATTAAAAAAATATAGATAAGATTTAAATTAATTTTCCATTTTAACTTTTTTGATTCAAATACTAGAAAACGAATGACACATTTTCAATTCTACGAGAAGATCGATAAAGTTTTGTAATACTTTTGAAGCCTCATTTCACGAAATTCCACGAACCGAACCAATTTATTTCCACTGAAAAAAATATTTGCTGGAATCTTAAAAAAGTAAATTTCCAAATTGAATAGCCGGGAAATCGCTCGAAACGGTTACCAGTTCGGTGGCCATTTTTATTTCACACCGACGCGTTGCAGATTTTTGAATACATATATAAATTTCTGCTCTGTCAGAAGCTTAGATAAGATGTTATATTGCGAGAAAGCCTTTTGTGTCGCGAGACCGTATATCATAAAGTCCCTGGATTTTACGGACTAACTTTTGGGGAGAATTTCTTGATTTGTGTCTTTCGAAAAGGAAAACGTAAAATCGCCTGTTAGCAAAAATTATTTATTGGCGATCGGCTAGACGTGAAGCCAAAATGAAGTGTCTTATATTGAATCTACAATAGACAAAGCCCTAAATCCATTTTCTCCAAACTTATTGGCAATTTTGCACTAATCACCGCTCGTGTGCTACTATACCGTCTGGCCCGTTTATTATTAGTATGATACGTTATCTCACAACTTGTAATAAATAACTGCAGGACTACCAAAATGTAACATTACAATTAAAATAAAGAAATTGCTAACTTATTTTTTTCAAATGGAAGGTTTTTATAATTTTAGCGTATTTAATATTTTAAAAAAGGATGACTTTGTATAAGGTTGCCTATTTGAAAAACTTGTAGATCTATAAATATTAGCATTTAATGGATTTATAATTATATAAATTCTGCAAAATAAACCTAAAAGGAAGCGTTGCTAACTAGTGAGGGTCTAAATAAATCATCGTTTCATGTCAGCATAATATCTAATTGTATCTAATGTATCTAATTTTGGTTGTAAAAGCAATCTCATCTCCGTTATTAGCAAACTGAGAGCCATGCGGTTTTCACAACACCACGCTACTTTTTATCTATCTTTATCTTTCAACTCATTGAAAAGTAGAAAATTGCTACTTATATAACTTTTCGATAGAACCCCGATATATGTTTAAAAGTCCTATTCAGCTTGTTTTTAGCTTTTTAAAAATGTAAATAGTTGTGTACAAATATTAAAAAAAAACTTCAATTCAAAATTTTGGAAATATTATATTCGCATTATAATTATCACAATTCATAAAAAAAACACTTTTTAAATTTAAAATAATTATAAACCAAAATAATGCCATGTTTCCTCTTTTTAGAAAACAAGCTACATGTGTATCGTAAAGAAAATATAAATTTTGTGGCTTTACTATTGAAAAAAAGGAATGTATATTTTGAAGTTAGAATTAATAATTGAAACTAATATTACAACTATTCATTGCACTAAGCTACATATTATATAACTAAGTAAAACTGATGCATACTGCATATTCATAAAGCATTTAATGCAAAATAAAATGTGTGCCTCCTTGTGCGCCTGCTAGCTGGTAAAGTAAAGTATTTCTATACAGGCGCTGACGTCATTCCCATTGTGAGCGCATTTGTCGAATTTAAACCGATAAGCACGTTTCTTTTCGTTTTTTTGCTGAAACGGATGCATTAAAGTTATTTTAATATTCGGAACTTATCAGTTTGGACCAAATTTATTTTTTGTGGAAAAATTGCCAGAAATGTGAAAGACTGTGGGACCAATACGCCCATTTCAAATAATCTACAAATTATTTAGGAAAAATATGTTATATTATCGGATGGTAGATATCTTGGAAGAACTATTTGAAGAAGAAAGTTACAGTTAGGTCGCTAAAATGTGAATTAGGAGAAGAGGGTCTAAGTAAATAAGTAAATAAGTAAATATAGCAATGGTCCTTTTAAAATACTCAAAGAAAGAACATTTTAAGAAGGATTTAAATTTCAAAGAAATAGTTTTGTACTAAAAAGGGGTTTCAAGTTTTTACATAGATAAATAGATAAGTAGTGTACATCTTCATGTAAAAGTTTAAAACAAATATTTTAGAATAATTAAAATAAAATAAACTAAAACATTCACGATTTATACATTGCACACTTCTTTCAATAGTCGTTAATATTTCATTCTTATTATTATAGAAGACTTTGTGTTGCAACTTCGGATTTGTTATCTCTATATTGACTCACAACATCTGCGTTGGAAAATTTTGTTTTCACAATAATGAAAATCTGGCAAATTCGAATGTTGTTAAAAATATCACATCCAAGCAACCGCTCGTAGCGTCTGCAGCGCGAGCAAATTTTCAATTTTCTTTTAAATTAAACCGTAAATCAGTTCGATCTGTAATTTGCATTCAAATCAGATTTGAGATAGCCGAGGACTCTTAAAACAACGAATTAAATGAAAATCTCGTCCTCTTACCTTAATTGGAAGAAAGCAAGAAAATGTTTTAACTTGCATTATTGCGTGCCTACGATGTTATCTGATTTTATTCTTCCATGAAACCTTCCGTTAGTTTTTTGAAGCGAAATATATCATTTGCCGTATGTATTTAAACAGATTAATTTTTTTTTCTTTCAAACTGGCTAAGGAGTGAAAGGAAGTCTAGAGGAATTGCGAGCTGTTAAGGAATTGAAGGATTTGAAAAACGTCAGGATCGTACCAGGTAGTTGAACATCTCTTAAATGCTTTTGCATGCTTTTCGATGTTTAGTCCAATGTTCAATGTTTTCCCGATATATTTAGACGCCAATGTCCTTGAATTTGTGCAGGTAAGTTTGATGATAATGTTTGCATCTGGGCCATAGAAATAAATAACTTCTTATTATATAACAAAACAGGTTTTGTTAACGTTTGTTAGTACGGTTATACATTTAATTCCATAGACAATCCGTAATATGAAAAAGTCAATGGAACGCTACATGTAAAATCTTACAGTAGGAAAATGAGCACTGATTAGGTATCTATAGGGTGATTCATAACGAGAGGAGCATCCAGAAACAAAAAGCCTAAAAGCATTCTCAAAAAAGCACAACTTGGAACGCAATGTTTCTAAGTCTTCCGTTGCAAGGATTGGTAGCGGCACTGCAGAAATTTAGGTATAGAACTGGATAATTTTTCCATCCATAATGTGCATCGAAAAATCGTGACTTGCACACGCTTAATAACAATATTAATGATGATTGCTTTTTACAAAACTTCTGGATTCCTCCTGCGTCGGTTTTTGCTTAGTCGAAATTGCTGACGTTTCGCTAATCATCCTGTTGGCTTCTTCAGAGCTTGACTTCTAACTAAATTTTATTTAGTTAGAACTAAATCAGCCTCTCTCACTCTGTATATTCCTTGGTATTATTCTAAAATCACAGACTAGAATGTTACTTTCCTTTATTGGATATATTAAGCAAATCGAGTTCTATAAGCTTGTGGGATGCTTGACTATGCCGACATGTGACCACGTGCTCTATACCACATTGATTAAAATTTAATAAAATAAGAGTCGCATAGCTGTTGTTTGATACTTCGATCGATTTAACGTGGAGATAAATGAAGCTCAACTAACAGGTAAGTTGTAGTACAAAGTATTAAATAGTTACAGAGGCATTGCAAGTAATGACGATATAACGAACCTAAAGTCTAGCCTAACATAAACATTAACTCAAGAAAATGAGAAACCTTCTATGGGGAACCTTAGTAATAGATTGCGAAAATATGTTCAAATCGGGTCGAGCATTGTATGTGGAGCACATTGAGGGAATAAGTGGAAATATTATTTCTGGGTGTGAGCAGAAAGAATGTGTTACTATGTCTAGAGTTACAGGGAATCAGAAAATTTGGTCCATATAATAGGTCAGAGTAATCAAACAAAATATTTAAAATTTTAGGTAAAGTGATTAAATAATGGTAACCATGGCGATCACTAAGGAAACGAAATCTATTTAATAATATTGTAAGCGAACAGCCTTGTGGGGGATATACTCCGTTTAACTTATACAATACATACTTCAAAAACTTACGCTCAATTCTTCCAGCCTATTAATTATTATTAATTATGACAATTGTACCCAGGAGACCAAACTACTGATGCATACTCCAACATAGACCTGACGCATGAGTTATATAATATTTTTATAACTTCTGCACAGGGTGCGGCAAAACGATAGGTACTATTTGGGACATTAATATAAACCAAACTACATAAAGCAAACATTTTTTTAAATTATTTTTGGAACGGTTTTTTTTTAAAATGATGTCTTTTAATTGACGGCCATTATTGTCGTTGCACTCTTATGGCTGCCTTTAATTCTTCCAAAGTCCGCGGACGATGTCTAAAAACTATAACAAGTAACCCCATAGAAAAAAATCGCAAGGCGACAGCCAAGATCACCCCGTAAAGACACCACTTTGTTTAGGAACATCTCTTGAAGAAGATTTAGTGAACGACGCGTTGTGTGCGATGTAGCACCATCCTGCTGGAACCAAAGATGTTCTCTTTGATCGTTGTTCAACTCGTTCACTTTTGGACGCAGGAAATTGTTAAGCATATCAAAATATCGATCTCCGTTGACTGTTACCGTTATTCCATCTTCTTCGAGAAAGTAAGGATCCCACACGCCGAACCCCGAGACTGCACACCACACGGTGACTTTTGGACTGTGAAGAGGTCGCTCATGAAGTTCCTGTGGACTATTTGCTGACCAATAAGGGAAATTTTGCTTATTTACGGTACCCGAGAAAGTGAAAATGAGATTCATCACTAGACATGAACACAGCGCCTCTGAGAATGTTTTGAAGAATATCCCGGCATAAATTTGTGCGGGTTTCAAAATCTCTGGCGCTTAATTCCTGCACTACCATCATCTTGTACGGATGCATTTGGAGTGAGTTGTGTAAAATTCTTCGAACACTTCTATCGGGAATTCCCAAAGCAGCTTCATGCTTACGAGCTGAACGCCTTGGAGACTGTTGTACGGAAACTCTTACTGCGTTCACATTTTCCGGTGTTCTTACTGTCCTTGGTCGGCCAGTAGATCTTCGGTTAAGCGCAGAACCTGTTTCCCTGAAGTGTAAAACCCACCGACGAATTGTTCTTCCATCCGGAACCGCGCCGTGCCGACCAACATCAAACTGATTACGAAAAGCGCGCTGCGTCGCTATTACAGAATCCCCATTTCTAATAAATTCCTCGACAACCACCAAGCATGATGCACTCCACGCCAAGCCATGTCGATAACTTAAAATTGTATACTCTTGTTTGCCTAACGCGAGTGCGTACACAGTGTTGCCGGTTTTACAAACCGAACAACCACTATTTGAAATCCTGCCTACCTTTTTGCCGCACCCTGTATTTATAAACTCTCTATTGGAACTTACGATAAACCTATGTCTTTTTGAGGCTTCTGCCAGTACATTATTATTATTACCTTATTAATATTACTCCCAAGTTAGAAAAAGTGTTAGAACGGGAGAGAGTTTTATCAAAAAGATGATATAGATAAGATAAGATATATTTCACAGATGCGCCCATGGTGGTGGAAGAAACTACATTACACTTGGCTGTATTAAGTTGCAAGTTATTATTTAGGGTCCAATTGTGGATTTGCTGCACACTACGCTAGAGGGTGAGACACCGGATTTAAAAAAAATAATTTAGGTCGTCCGCATATATCAAAAACTGACATCGAGGTCCTTACCAATGTCATTAACGAAAATGTTGAATAATAATGGCCCCAATATTGAGCCTTGAGGAACGCCTAAGGAAGCAATTAACAAGCGATTCGGAAAATCCAAAGGCACGAAACTTGTGGATTAAAATTACTTCGTTTACAGTATAACGCGTTCGTTTACAGTATAACCAATTACTCTCTGATTTTAATATTTTAGACATTCATAACTTTCAACTAAACTGTCCTGTTGGCGTTGCGATGGTATAGTATTAGCATATCCTAGTAATTCCTGGTTATATTAAACTGCAACTAGTTTTGTCTCTCATTTTTTATCTGGTTTATCGGTATTTAATCGTGTAATTAGGGGTAGTATAGGCAGTTCTGGATTTCTCTTTCGTTAAATATAGTAACTATATCACACTACATTTAAGTCGGTTAGAAGAGGAGGATATTTTGCACGTCCATAGTTTAAGATCGTTCGATAGAAAATTGGAGAATAAATAATGGTATGGCGATACAGGTCTCGGGAAAACCGGTCATAGGCTCATTGTCCCATTGTATTCGTCTGCGACACGATATATGAAATATCGGGAGATGCCGTCTGGTTACCAGGACGATTTATGCCGAACAAAAAACGCCACCCCGGAGGAGATTATGGAATCCGGGCCAAATTTTTTGATCGCCTTCAGTTTCCGCAACGAAGTGTTGATGGATGCTGGAATGGCATTTTAAATGCTTAAAAATGCGCCGATAATGGCGCAAAATATCTCTAAAGCTCTAGAAATTTACGACAGTTTAAAGGCGAACGACCAAGAATGTGTCTATTAAGCTTATGAAAAATGGACACAACCGAGCGAGAAACTTTTCTATCTCTAGACCGGGATGAGATCGCGGCGAGACAAAAGTGTCCTTATTCTCGAAGCCTCGGCTGTCGGATTTTATACCTTTCATTTTTCTCCTAAACGTTGTTTTGCGAAACTGCGAAGCAGCGTTCATCCGATTTGGTCCCTCAATTTGGTAATGAGTAAGGGTTTGACTCGCCGTAGCTCCCACAACTGACAACTGAATTACACAGACATCCAAACATTTTATCAAACTCGATTAAAGTACAGCAGCAAAAGGTCGAGGGAGGAGGCAACCGTAAAAGAAATGAAACATGAAAACCTTTTTCAATTTCGAAGATATTTTCCCTCCACTGTTGTCATTGTCGTCTATGGGGTGCAGACAAATTAAAACAAGCAACTTTTGAAATTTTTTTACAAGGAAAGGTACAGTTTTGTTCACAAAAAAACCCGTTCAAGTCTTATAATTAGTTAACATTTAACACTGATTGTTTCCTCATTAGATTCATGGTTGGTTATATTTAACAAACAACTTTTTTTCCATAGAAAAGAGACCAAACAATGCCAGCATATTTTCATTTTGCCGCAACTAAAGTATAATACAATAATAAACTGAAGTTTCTTAAGAAAAGAAAAAAAGGACGATATTGTCAATACTAAATATGAAATTAATTGGAGATTTCAAATATATGCTTGCATTTGCAAATACTGTTGGTCTTGTAACAACTCACAATCATTTACACATTTTATTTTCCTGAATAGTTTTATTTAGTCCTGAACATCAATGATCCCAATGGCTCTCCAGAACAAGCTGTATAAAAATTAGTAACGTAAAGTTTTTTTATCGAAGAAGAAGAATAAGAAGTTTTTATAGAAAAAATGTCAAATTGAAACCGATCAAAGGCTTTGACAAAATCGGTGTATATGGTAACATTATTCGCAATATGTTCGATTTTTCTTGAAACAAAAGATTCTGTTTTGAAAACAGTGCTATATAGATTTGTTTGTTGTTGTTTGTTTGTTTTAAATGACACAATGTATTTTTTAAATCGATTGATCTCTTTGTATGCTCTCTAAAAATGTATAATAGTTAGACACCCAACATTCTTATAGCCTACTCTAATTTATTTTCTTAACACAATTTATAATGTAACTATGGAC